ATAGGAAAAGTTTTTTTACGAAAGCGGGGATGGGTCGATTTTCGCATAGGAAGCCATAGGAAGAAATGAGTATTTTTGCAATAACTCAGGAACGGCTCGGCCAATCATGCTCATCTTCGAACTCGACCGAGATATTGTTAAGACTGAACTGTGTAGAAAATTTCATCGCAATCGGACTCTCCTTTCAAAAGTTATCGTGTAAACGGACGGACGGACACACTGACCGATTCTAAAGTGTACTCACTTTTTGAGTGCACAAAAATAAATGTTAATATAATTAATGTTAACTGACCAGTTTGCGTTTAACTTTTGAATATTTTCTTTTCTTTCAATTTTCACCGACACACATTGTCATTCAATTAATAATAATAATAATAGTTTCAATATTGAACCATTGATTAATGTTGTTTTTACCGATAAATTTAGAATATATCTTTATCAGTATGATTGACAATTAATGTTCATTGATCAATGTTCTATGTTCTGATGGCTCTGTACTAATTGCAGACACTTTTCACACCAATTAGCGACAAATGGCCGCATTTTGGAATGATTGGATATAGGTTATCTCATTTTTATTGCGTTTCCAAAAGGTGGACACTTTTTTAATTAATTAGTTATTGTGAAATAAGATTATGAGATATGTATAATTGATGAACTTATAAAACGATGAGAAATAACAGAACATTTCATTTGACACAATGACTACAAATTTGACTTTCTCAACAACCCAAAAGGGTGAAAAAGCAATATTGTATAATAATTACTTATATCGAATGAAACGTGAAACTCAAAAGGGTATATCTTTATGTTTGTACAAATAAATCTTGTACTCGAAGTTTTACTTTACAAAATGATACAATAATAAAATGTAACGGTATAATTCATGATCATGATCCAAAACTAAATGATAATGTACAGGTTGTATTAACTGGAATAAAACGTCGTGTATTAGCCGATGTGGATGTACCAATAGGCAAAATTTATGAAGAAGAAGTTAAAAAGTTTGTGAGTATTCAATGTTCTTGAGTAATACTCAATCATGAGTTTGTCAAACTGCATATTTTCATTCTAGCGTCGTGTAAATGGTTCAGCTGCTACTATTCCAGTTTTTGATGCTTGAAGATCAACCTTATATTATATTCGTAAAACAACTTTACCTTCAGTACCAACATCGATAGATTCAATTACAATTCCTGATATTATGTCGTTTACTCATTCTCATGAACAATTTTTATTTTGCAATACCAACGCACCACACAAGATTATCACCTTCGCATCAGAATCAACACTAAAAATATTAAGTAAAAATCATCACTGGAATGCTGATGGAACATTTCGTACAGCACCATAATTATTTTCCCAAGCTTATTACATACATGTGTGGGATGAGTACAGCATGAAGCCTATCGTCTATTCATGTTGTCAAGATAAATCAGAAGAAACTTATGTCAATTTATATCAGTCACTTGTTCAATATGCAACGAAAAAAAATGTTACTCTGAATCCCACACCAATATTAATAGATTTTGAACAATCTGCTATTAATGCAATAAATCGAGTATTTCCAAGAACAGTTGTTAATTGTTGCCATTTTCATTTTGCCCAAAATATTTGGAAGAAAGTGAAGAAGTATGGTCTGACAAAATTATCTAAAGAACAACATATTAGAAGACAAATAGCCAACATTATTAGTTTACCTTTGGTGCCTACAAACGAAATTAATAACTTCATGGAGCGTATAATTGATATATTATCTAATATTGATTCGAAGTTTGATAAATTAACAGATTATGTATTAAACACTTATGTTGAAGATGGTCGTTTTTCATCTGTTTTTTGGAATCATTTTAATTCCATCGGTGAAAGATCACGGGCCAACAATCATCTTGAAGGCTGGCACAGACAGTTAAATGCACGTATTCGAGTACATCCAGATCTCTGGACATGGTTCAACGAAATTAAATCGTCTGAAGAATCAGTAATGATTCGTCACGAACAAGAACAAGCTCAACAGCGTACAATAAGATCCAGAAAGGCGATAAATATTCGCGACGATGCAAAACTTAAAGCAGCAAAATTAAAATATTTGCAAAATCAAGATTTTGAGTCATATGGAAAGGTATTACGCAGCATTTTTCATCGCTGCATTGATGTTCTAAGTAATTCGAAAGATAGTAGTGATGAGGAGTAATTGTTTTGCTATGTTTTTTTTGTATATATATAGTATTTCTTTGAATAAATTATTCTTTACAGATACAATTGAATGAATCAAGCTGTCTTATAATGCCTATTGATTATTTCTTAATTAAAAAAGTGTCCGCTTTTTGGAAACACGATAAAAATGAGATAGCTCATATTCAATCATTCCAAAATGCGGCCATTTTCCATTAATTGGTGTGAAAAGTGTCCCCAATTAAGAAGGTACGGCTCTGATGTGTCTATACCCACCGAAAAACATTTTCAAAAAAATCGCGGTAGGCAACGGTATTAAAAACCGCGGTTTTGGCCGGTAGTTTCAGATGCCAGGAGTCAGACCATCTATGCGTGTTTTTAAAACCACTCAAAACCGCGGTCTCAAAAACCGCGATTTCGAGCGGTTCCAAAGAAACGCATAGATGGTCTGACTATCGTTATATTAAAAAATGCTCAAAACCGCGGTTTCGAGCGGTTTTTCCCGATACACTAGAGTGAACCGACCCCAGCATGCCGACCATAACCTGAAGCTTTCAGGCATGGTGCCCTTCTAGAGGCAGTGAAGTGAACTCTCTCGAGCTCCATTTCCACAAAGTACAATTGTAGAGTCAGATGAATTATCTGTGTAATGATCGAAAAATTTGGCAGAAAAAGTGGGACACGACATCTTGACTGTCCTTACGCATTACTTGACACTTCGATATGCATGGCGGTTTTTCACAGCGACACCGCGGTTTCCTGAATCGCGGTTCTGTAAGTGACGAACGCGGTTGTTTAAAACCGTGTCTGGCAGCGGTGTAGCACATCACGGTGCGGATACGCGAAACCCGGGGTTTCTGAAACCGTTACTAACCGCGATATAGAACACTGAGATTTCGCCATAGAAAATCGCGATCCTTCTAGTTACACCGTGGTGGCTTGAAAGAACCGCAATAAACTTTATTTTTAAATTTTCGTGGCTTCATTTTAAAATAAAATGAATCTTCTACCATATGAATTCTCTTGAAACAGTCTACATTAACAATCATTCGTTTTTATTAATTTATCGAATAGCTAGTACTGTTTTTTTGTGACTCTACTTCAATCCCTCCTCAACAGAAACAGATTGAAAAATAAATAAAAGCTGTAGCATTTTTTATCAGTCGATTTGTGAAATTTCTACCACGATAATTTTCAGATGAATCGANTCTTCGTAGTGCTTCGAATATCGTTGTCAACTTGATTGAGTCAAAAGCTTTTTCAAAATCTATAAAGGCAAGACATAATGGTATTTCATACTCACCGCATCGTTCAATAACTTGTTGTACGACTTGTATGTTGTCTACAGTACTGTATCCATTTCTGAATCCCGCTTTTTCTGTTGGTTGAGCATAATCGAGCGTTGTTTCAAGTCTTTTGGTGATGATTTTTGTAAGTAGTTTGTAGATGATCGACAGTAAACTAATTGGTCTATAGTTTTTCAAATCTTCTTGGTCTCCTTTCTTGTGAAGGATAATAACCTTAGCATTTTTCCATGATGTCGGTATACTTCTTTGCTTTAGGCAACGAGTGAATAAATCAGCTAGTGTTCTATAGGTTTCGTCGCCGCATGATTTGAGAAGTTCTCCTGTTATTCCATCTGGTCCAGCTGCTTTTCCATTTTGGAGGCTTCGTATTGCTTGTTGTACTTCAGCTGGAAGCACGTCGGGGACGTCGTTTTTTTCTGTAGAGTCAGTTGTGGTTTGTTCGATGTCGTCGGCGTATAACGTTGAATAGAATTCTTTGATACGTTCTATCATTTCTTGTTGGTTTGATGTTGTTGAGCCGTCTTCTTTCTTGATTCTTAGTAAACGCTGCTTACCTGTGATTAATTGTTGTTTTGTTTTCTTAATACTTTTGTTTTTCTCGATTGTTATTTGTATGAGTTGGCAGTTGTGTTGTCGAATCTCTTCCTTCACTCGTTTTCTTATGGTTTTACATAATTCGGTATATTCAATTCGGTTTCGTGGTGATTGGATGTGCTTCCATTCTCTTCGTTTACGTATTAGTTGTTTCGTTTCTTCTGATATTTTATTGCTTTGCTTGTATTTCTTCATTCCACCAATTTCTTTGGCTGTTGTTAGCAATGTTTCAGTTATGTGTTCTTTAATGTTTGATAAGTTGGTTTCGTCTAGTTGCTTAAGTATATCGAAACGATTTGATAATTCAAGCCGAAATTCGTTTTTCCGTGTCTGGAGTCTCTGGTAGTCGATAGACGTTGTTGTGTTGGATATTAATTTTCTTCTTTCTTTCTGTAAATTGATTTTCAAGGTTGTTCGTAGGAGCCGATGGTCACTTCCAATGTTGAAGCGGTTGATGACTGAGCAGTCTGTAAAAATCGATCTGTTGTTTGACAAAATGTAATCGATTTCGCTGGTCGTTCCTTTCGGACTTTTCCAGGTCCATTTTTGCTTGGCTTTTTTCTTGAAGAATGTATTGATCACTGATAGGTGTTCTTTTTCAGTGAATTCTACTAATCTTGAGCCACTTCAAAATAGTCATGGG